GTACTGCTCTAATAATAGACCTAATCCTAAATTTGTAGATTTGTCATGATATAACTGCCTAATCTATAAGATCTTACGTGGAAGTCACACCATCGACTACACCAACTCACAGTATCGTATCAATTACCAATACATGATGTAGAACAAGGTAAGGCTAGAGAAAGAACAATATATTTAATATGAATAGAAGATATAAAGTAACATTGAGATGGACCACGTCTGCATGGACGAGCCATGCCATCCGATCAAACCCAGTCCATTCAATTCACTCTTCGCGCCTTCTCCATCGTTAGGTATTTATCCGCGTTAAATATTGAATATCTATTTTCTGAGTAGTCTCGTTTTCAGCTTAGTGGATTGTGCGGTTATTGTTCAATGCCACTACAGACCTACGAATTGACCATAATACCCTATAGCCTTTTGCAGCAGAAGCCTTACAATGACTAGTGGTTTTGAGATCATTGCTTAATATGACTCCTAAGTTTTTATAGTTTCTTGCTTTGGGTAGCACGAATCCACGTAGTGTATAGTCATACGATTCATCAGAGTTATTTAACTGCATCACTACACTCTTATTAGGATTTACTTCTAGTGACCACCTGTCTAACCATGCCGCCAATGAGCTAAGATCGTCCTGTAATACTATTCTATCCGACATACTATGTGTGGGTCTCCAGATTTTATGTCATCAGCGAAGAGTAGAACGGATGATTTTGCTACAGTTGGCAATTCATTTACATAAAGTAAAAAGAGAAGAGGACCTAGGATTGTACTTTGGGGAACCCACGAGGAGAGAGCCCCATTAACCCTTACCCTTTGTCTCCTCTCATGGAGAAAGTTACTTATCCAATCTACGACTGTATAATGGATTCCAAAACGTTCCAGTTTGAATTTAAGACCAGAGTGGGAAACCTTAACAAAGGCTTTACTTAGATCTATGAAAATCACATCCATAGGAGCATTTCGATCCTTTGCCGCACCCCCATCTTCTCGTGCAATGAGAAGATTTGTCAAGCAAAATAGGCCTTTCCGAAAACCATGTCGTATCCTGGAGAAAAGATTTTGCCCTTCAACATAGTTGATAACAGCTATCCGAATGATTGTCTCCATCAGTCTTACAACTGCACTAGTTAAGCTAACGGGATTATAGTTACTAACTAAATCCCTACTCCCAGCCTTATACACCGGTCTTATTATGGCGTCTTTCCAGTCTCTAGGCAGTCTGGACTGTCTCAGAGATATGTGGAATAGTATCGCTAATGGTTCAGCAATTTCATCTGGTATGGCTTTCATAATAACTGTTTCGGACTATACCTAGAATCCCTAACCAGTTGTGTTTCGTATGATAGTCTAGTCGTGCTTATTAACGCTTTACAGGCATTCTTAATCTTACAATAACGGGATCTGTATTATTCTAAGTCAGTAGAGATCAACATATTCCAGTGGTTCTTTCTTTTTCTAAGGAGTTTCCTGACCGTTTTGGTTATCCATGGTGGATTGTTATTCGGCCTTTGCGGTATTAATTCGAAACATTAAAGGAGTTGCTTAATAAATACCAAGTTGTGCCATTTTATTAATAATTCTGAGTTCCCTAAAAGGATACAACAATCGGTTATATTAATGTCTGAGTGAACACTGAAGTTGAACAGTTACTAAACGATAGCTCTTTAACATGTAATTCACTTGTCATGTGTAATAACTCATATTCACCACACTCAGTATTCTTACAATGATATAAAAGGTCTAAACGTAATGGACATGTTCCTTTGTACTCTCGTTTTTTCTCTCACTTATCTGTTAACTTACCAGGTAATGTATTTTCAGTAAATATTCTCGTTAGTGATTCCCATTTGGATATTCTGACCAATTCGTCTTAATTTTCGGAAGAGTGTATTGGCAAACAGATCCACAGAATAAATAACTTTTACGCATCCAACATCGATACTAGATTCGCCTTACTGGAGGGGCTCCGTCAAGCACCGAGACCGGACTACGTCTCGACTTACCACTGAACGAATTTCCTCCGATAGCTCGACAATATAGGAGTTACAAGCTACAGTGCTTCTATCTGTAATCAAAACATCTAGTTACTGAATTTCCCTCGAATTTTGTAACCATACTGCGAAAATTACGATTGGAGGAGCTTGGACAGTGGTATGATGCTGTAGATGTAAATAAATCCCCAAAATAAATAGTTCTGTAAGTCTTCGACTTTGGATGCTGACCACATCAGTTTTAATGGACTCACTTAGCTGAATGAGCTCGACCATGTATTTACACCAGATCACGAGTGGGAACGCCGTGCTCAACACCCCCTGCAATCGCTAGCCAGATTAGATCAGATGATCCTTGATATATTGATAGCCTATCAAACATATCTTCGAACGTCCTCGCTTCTGTCCTTTGATTTCACTTGGTGAGTAAGGTTCATGTTAGGTGTTACTGGTTAAAGAGTTGTCAAACTCCGGATACCTGTGGCATCTTCATTGGTGAGCCCGACGTGATCTGGTACACCAAATTGCAAACTGTGAGCCTGTTCCTTTTTGGACTTTATATATCATTGCCTTATTTTAATTTTTTATGCATTTGTGTTATTTTCCGTGTTTTTGGATATATATATATATATATATATATTTCAGTCGTTCATTCTTGTACTTCATATTTCACCATAACTGAACAGACACCCAATGTACTTAAGTTAAAGAGTATTTCCTCACCTTCGTTTCAACTAATGCTCTTCTAGCCAGGCAGCATTGAAGCCTGATTCTGCTACGCAGATGACTTCTACGATCGACACACGTGCACAATTCCTCGCAGTAGTAAAGGCACTACAGCGCGAATTCATCAGGTACGTAACACCTAGCATGTTTACTAGTGATGTTTCGGAACCCTACGAAACGCTTAAATGCGGAGACCTAACTGATCGACTATGGTTAGACCAACTCCTTAATAACATCGACCTGCAACACGATTCTGCGGCAGACATGTTGCAAAGACTGAGAGAGGTTATCGGCCAGAGAATTTTTGATGGTGGCCTATTCAAACAACTTTTCTTGTCCAAACTTCCTCAACAGGTGCAAGTTGTACTGGCCGCCTCTTAGAAATCACGAAGTCTTCTGATGCACAGTTTTTTTCAGTCAAAGAGATGCCTCAAACGACCCGAAGTGACGTTACAGAGTTATGTCATACACCTACACGTTATCTTAAATTTCGTAACGACCGTAAACGGTCACATACCCTGCGAAGAAGCACTTCACGTAGGCGATCTGTCTCTAGACCACGGGAGACGGATAACCCGGCTGGTGCTGGTATCATTATCAGTATAGAAAGTCCTCCGGAAATTGCACAAAACCCTGCAGTTTTCCCGACCCGACATCGACCGACTCGAAAAATAACTCGGGGAACTTCCAAGCTGGCACGCGTTAATGGCAACCGTAGCTGACGAATATAGCCGTCTGTCATACGTCACAGATGTGATAACAAGAGTTCGCTACCTCGTCTATACCAGCGCAGAAGTTAGCGTTTTTCCAGCGAATTGTAACGACCGTCTTCACGAATCGGTTTTAAATCTACAGGCAGCAAACGGAAAGCCTATCGCTGCGTGTGGCAAAAAGTACATTTACCTTAACGTCGGTTTACGCAAACCCATTTACTGGAATTTCGTTGTTGCCAATCATTGATATAGACCTTCTACAACATCAAAATCTAATCATCAATACGCTAGTAGACAGAAACACTAATTTATCTGCCTACGTAACTTCTTTTTCTGATTGCAGATTATCTACACCTACAACTAGGCACACGACAGACCCATTTTATCAACCACTACTCGATAAGTATCCTGACTCATCGTATCGTAACAGTTAACAATATGACACCTAGTACTTCAAAATAACACATTTAAACTGAAGATAGGATAATACATACTTCATATGAATAAAAGAGATAAGTTATATAAGGATAACCACGCCTGCCAGACTGTCTTGCCATCCGAATAATTTAAATAATTGTTCTCACGTTCACCATTATCAGCCTTCTCTTCGTGTGAAATTTTGAACACTTATTCTCCGAGTTATCTCATGTTCAACTTTGAAGTTTTCGTGGTTTCGGCCAATCCCTTTACAGATATATCGACGCCATAATTTTACGGAATTCGACAAGACCTTAAACAGCAACACCTTTTATAATCGAGACGTTCCAACCCAGTGAAATCAGTAGTCAGAAGCGAGGATGTTCAAAGATACATTTGATATAATATCCATATATCGAGAAGTGACTAACCTAAGCTGGTTAGCGGTTGTGATCACTCAGCGGGAGTAGTCACTTGTGATCGTGTGCAGATGCATGACCGAGCTCTGTCAGCTAGGTGAGTCTATTAAATCTATTGAGGTCAGCATCGGGTGTCGGAGACTTACAGGGGCACTGATTTTTGGGATTTATTTACCGTCATAGGTTTCATGGAATCGTAACTAAGTTAACACGTAAAATCGAAAGCTACTGTGTGGCGACACGGTATCCGGTATGAGTTTACTCCTACCGTACAAAACAACAAAAGATAATCTAATCAGGCTCTCTGGTCACGCGATTAATTTTTACATCTGACACGTCCTTGTTCTCGTCCTTCAGAATAGCGAAACGTCTATAATCGGAGAACTGACTACTTGTCTCATGATTAGCAACTTTCCATCGAATTGTCAGTGAATGGAAGCATCTATTTTTTCAAGTGATCATAGTCCCTTCCATCAGTTTATGCAACAAAATCCTGTACTTCGAAAAACAAAAGTGACGTTCTGACGCTTTATCCTCTCCAAAACGAAGCAATGCAAATAGATACTTCACTATTCTGCTATAAGAAGCAGCATCTCGCCCCTCGAATCACTAAGCCAAGAGAAAAGGTAACAAATGAACTAGCGTAGTGATCAAGCGAAAAACAACACATTAGTACTCTTTCTTCATAGCCAAAATTTAAAAAGCTATTGCTCGAAGTCTGTTTGAATCGCTCAAAACATGAGGTCATATGCTGCGAACCATTGGGGGCTTATTAGGGTTGCCGAGATGTAGATGCTTATGGAGATGTGCAGCGGTGCATCATGATGAACTAAGATTCCATTTTGAGGTTCTATGATACTTTTATTGTTAAATACCTTCCTTTAGAAACCCGATTCTGTAAGGATACTTAGCAGCGAACTCAATATGGATCGAAAATTTAGTATGTTCAATGGAAATAATGGTGAGTACGAATTCTGTTTGCTTATTGTAGTTTGGTTTCTGTAGATGAAAATAAAGAATCACTGGATAGTTCGGAATGCATACAAATGGTACGGCTGTGTTCGGAATTGCATCTACAAGTAATAACGACTTTTCGAGTCTTGTATATTTTCTTAGTGCAGAACGTACCTCACAATTATTCGAACTAATCTCGAAATAGATGATGAAAATACCGAAAGTTCTCAGTCGGAAAGCGATATCGTTTGTGCTTTAAAAAAACTTCATGCTCTGTTGAACTCGGGCTTTTCTTCAAGGATTAAATATTTGTATTCGATAGCAGGTGATTATGATTTCGGCTCTTTGCGGGCGAATGGCATCCGAAGCTTTTTGGCCATCACTACTAGATGCTCTGCTGTTCTGCTGATGTACATTCGCCAAATGAGTTCATATTCCCTCTCCAACTGGTAAGACCAGATTTAACCAGATTCACTATTTTCGTTTAGGCGAATTCGTAAACTATTAAAACCTTTTAAATTTTTTCTACAACTCATCCTTAAGTGAAATTATCATTGTGGAACTACTATAAAGGTCAGTAGGAGAGTAAATAAAGATACTTTTGAGGTTTGGAAAATAATGGGTGAATGCATTCATACAACAATTTTAGATTCCGAATATCAACTCATCTCTATTTATGTAAATAGTCCTTAAGACCCCAGTCAGAAAGTTTACTTCTCGCGCTAGTTAATGCAAAACCCAGTGATTTAATAGATCCTGTCTTGTGGCTTAAATTTTGGCAATTAATACTACTGGAATTGCTCTCATATGCTAGGATCACTAGGTAAGTAATAGTGAGGTTAGACGCCGAGTATTAGGGAATGGTGGTAAACCATTTGATGAGGTTGCGGATCTTCATCGACTGAGATGGTTGGGCCACGTGTTACGTATGCCCGAACACCGATCACCACGACGTGCAATGCTAACCGGTGTTGGGGATGGTCGTAAGAAAGTTAGGGGCGGCCAAACTAAAACGTGGCATCAGTGCTTGAAGTCACTAACTTCTGGTCTGTGTCATGTTGGTGGATGCAGACTACTTGGTTGGGGTCCGCGTGACTATCGTAACCGGTGGTTGGAGACTCTTGGTGACATGTCTCAGAATTGGTCACAATGGCCTAGGTGTATTCACTCTGTCTTCCTTTGAACTATTAGATTAAAATCGCTTCATATCTTCCTACCAACTAATTATTTCTTTCTGTACTATCCTTATATTACAATCTTTTATATATTACCAGCATTGACTTAACCACCCCTATGAATCCAGTGTTAATCTTGCTGTGCTACTGAGGTATGGCGACTTGGACCGATGCATATATGTGCCTGGCCCTACGTTGTAACTGACTGACTGACTTGAGTCAGCACAGTATGTCAAGGTAGATGTAGTACATGACTCGATTAATTAATTCGTTCGAAGTCCGCTCCGTTAGTTTGTTCGTTGTCCGGGGCTTCTCACTTCGATAGTGTTCATTCGATGGTTCTACTATGCACGAGTTATGACTCTTCAGTACCTATCCCAAGACCAAACGAATTGCTCTTCTGTGATGCACTGTCAAGTATCTCTATCCCTAAAGGTGGTGTAGCTGGATGTAGTAATTCTTATTTAATGCAAAAAATCCTCTTCACTCGTCTTTACTTAGTCTGTCAACTCCATGAATCAAATAGCTTTCTGAATAAGCAGTTATCTACATGCTTGACCATCATACACTGCTCCTAAACTACTTCCCCTGTTAAATCTATGAATTATCACTGTATTTCACCACTTTGATATGTGGTGACTTTGACTGATACACACATCCTAGGCTCTGCTTTGGTTGTGACACTGGTCGTTAATTCTACAGGTACGAAGTGAATGTGGAAATATTCGTTTAAAAGGTTTGTGTGGCACATGTATATTTGGTGCCTCATTGTACCAATTTTTATGTTTAAACAAATGAATGAAGCAGTTTACGTGATCTGCTTACCGTCGTAAAGGCTGTCGATCAATGCAATTGTTGGAATGATTGTGGCGTCTACACCAGTAATTTACCCACGAAACCGACCTACCGATCCCACCTAAATGGAATTTGGGCGATAAAACTACTGGCCAACTGATTAAGAATGTAAACAATGTAAGAGAATTCACGCTATTGTATATGTACAAAATGCTTTACCAAGATGTTATGGTTATTAGTTACTTGTCAGTTGAAAGATGAGTAATGGAGATTTAAAATAAAGGTCACAAAATAATCACTTGAGATGGCTGGGACATGTGTTACGTATGCCCAACCACCAATTGCCTCGACGTGCGATGTTTTATGGTGTAAGAGTAGATTGGAAAAAAGCTAGAGGCAGTCAGGCCAACACATGGCACAAATCCATGAAGTCACCAACAAGTGGACTGGGTTTTGTTGGCAGGTGTAGACTAACTGGTTGGGGACCACGAGATGATAACAACCGATGGTTCGAGACCCTGAATGACATGGCTCAAAATCGTTTGCAGTGGCGCAGGTGCATCCACTCTTTGTGTTCTCCCAAATTATAATCTTCTGAATTCCTCATGTCCCTTTCTTTTTTCTCTTTCACTGGATTGTACTCCTTGACTAACATCTTCAAACCCTAATCTTTCCGATTACTGCTTACACTTTCACTACCTCTACCACTATGGGGTTTGAATCGACAATTGTATTTGTGTGTTAATGTGGCATGGCAACTTGAACTGATGTACGTACGAAGTTCTACTTTGCTACTGACTGACTGACTACTCATTGTAACAACCGTTTTAGGTCTATCAGAGGACGCCTGGTCAGATATATAATCACAGAAAAACTGCAATCACTTAGTTACTTTTATCGATATCTTTCTGTCAATGTTTTTAAGTCGTAAAAAAATATACTGGAAGGGACTTATCCAAAAAGATTTCAATGTTCTTCTCACAAGAGAACTTCTGTCCCCTCATAAGCTAATTTAATCAATGATCGAAACTAGTTTGACCAGATTATTTTTTATTTGTAAGCCTCAGTTATTCTATCCAGTACTTCGAAACTGTCATTTTAAATAACTATAGGGGTGTATGTTTAGGGTTGACTAACGTCGTGTTGTATTAATTTGACCCAAAATCTCTTTTAAGCACTATCATAGTTACAGTGAACAGTTGTTTATCATTCCTTGACACTGATGATTTGTCTATGTGACTGTTTGAATTGGCTACACAACTAAGCATCAAGTGGTTTAGGTTACCTTATATAAATCCTATTTTCAATCAGAACCTTTTGACCTGTTGGATAACAAAAAATTTCTTTTTTTAAGATTTTCAGGGATTACTTTGAAGAAAACAAAATATTGACAGTTGTGGTTGTGATCCCACATATACTCAGTATTGGTTTTTTGAAACAGTCGGTTTTAGATGGTATTCTCAGTCAGTCAGTCAGCGACAACGTAGGACCAGGCACATATGTGCATCGGTCCAGGTTGCCATACCTCATTAGCACAGCAAGATGAACAGCGGATTCATAGGAGTGGTTAGGTCAAAGGTTGCAATAAGGATACAGTACAGGAAGAAAGAATTAGTTCGTAGACAGAAAGAATGAAGTGATTTTAGTCTCTTAGTTTAAGGGAAGACAGGGAGTGTATACACCGACGCCATTGTGATCGATTCTGAGCCATGTCACCAAGAGTCTCCAACCATTGGTTACGAAAGTCACGCGGACCCCAACCAAGTAGTCTGCATCTACCAACATGGCTCAGACTAGAAGTTAGTGACTTCATGCACTGATGCCACGTTTTAGTTTGGCCGCCCCTAACTTTCTTCCAACCATCCCCTACCCCGGTTAGTGTTGCACGTCGTGGTGATCGGTGTTCAGGCATACGTAATACGTGGCCCAACCATCTCAGTCGATGAAGATTAACAACCTCATCAACTGATTTACCATCATTCCCTAATACCCTACGTCTAACCTCACTATTACTTACCCGGTGATCCCAGCAGATGCCAGCAATATTTCTGAGGCATCTGTGGTCAAATACTAGTAACTTACGGGTGTCTTCTACTCTTAAAGGCCATGTTTCGCTGCCGAAAATTAAAACAGAACGAACTGCCGCGCAGTATACTCGTCCTTTTATTGATAGACGGATATCTCGCCTTCGCCAAAGGTGACGTAAGTTGGCAAAAGCCAAACGAGCTTTTCGAATCCGTGCTGAGATTTCGTCAGACACCAACCTATTAGGGCTGATCAGACTTCCAAGATAAGTGAACTTGTCAACGCGTTCAACTACTTCACTCCCTATCCTTAGTTCAGGTGTTGACGCAGACCAGTCCTGAAGCAACAACTTGCATTTAGAGGGAGAGAAGCGCATCCCAAACATTCTGGCATTGTTGCTTAGTGCTACCAGAAGACTCTGCATTTTGTCAGCGTCTTCACCAAACAGGACTATGTCATCTGCGTATTCTAAGTCGATAAGTGGACCTCCTGGAAGGAGATCAATACCCGAGAATTCAGTCGACGAGAGTGTTATTTCCATCAATAGGTCTATGATGAAGTTAAACAAAAATGGAGAAAGTGGACAGCCTTGACGGACACCACTTGAAGTTGCAAAAGTAGATGACAGTTCGCCATAAGCCCTGACTCGACTAGTAGTGTTCGAGTAAAGAGCCTTCACGAGGTTTATGTACTTCTGAGGTACGCCTTTCAATGACAGACACTGCCACAGAGTCTCGCGGTCTACCGAGTCAAATGCTGCTTTTAAGTCAAGAAATACCACCATCGTCGGACGCCGATAGGTATGCCTGTGTTCTAGAACCTGACGAATGGTGAATATGTGGTCGATGCAGCCACGACCAGGTCTAAAGCCAGCTTGGTTCTCTCGAGTTTGTAGTTCACGAGTCTTAGTTAGGCGTTTGATAATTATCGAGGCCAGTATTTTAGATACTATGTTTGTTAAACTAATCCCTCTATGGTTTTCACAGGATGATTTTGACCCTTTCTTATATATTGAGACGATAAGTGATTGCGACCAGTCAGATGGGATAAAGTCTAATTCCCAGATCTTAGCTAAAATATTAGTCAACTTAATCGCTAAAATTGGACCACCATCCTTAAAGACCTCTGGAGCCAATCCATCTGGACCAGCTGCCCTTCCTCGTTTCAGATTAACTATAGCCTTTTGAACTTCAGCAAGAGTTGGAGGACCTACTTCAATGTTCCATTCACATTGTCTGGAAATGGAGGGTAGTTGTAGAGTAGCTGAAGGCCAGCTGAACTGTTCCCTAAAGTGTTCCGCCCATCGTTCTAAACGTCTGGACTGGGAGCAGATGAGAGTATCATCTTTTTCCGATATAATCTCACTTACACTTGACTTATTAATTCCAGTTTCTTTTATTAGTCTGTAAAGCTGTCTTGTGTTCTCTATAGTCGCCGCCTTTTCCATCTCTTTTGCTTTCGTTACCCACCACTGCTCACGGTCGTTTCTTAGACTTTTTCTTAACCTAAATCTGATTTGTTTTCGCTCTTCATCATGTTCAGAACCTGATGGGACGAGTTTGCGAGAATCCATCAGTGTGACAGACCTTGAAGAAATCCACTGGTTCCTTGCAACTCTGTGGTTTAAGTCACTAATAGATGTCACTGCTGTTTCCACAGCTGATTGTATGCCCTTCCAAGCAACATCTGGGTCAGCCTCGTCTTCACAACTACCTCCCGACCGTTGTTGCTACCTTGACGTGGTGGTCGGGCTTGCCTATCGTGATGAAGCAACCGAGCTATACTGGCTGGAACAACCGTTCCTCAAGTTCCTGCCATGTCAGACAGGTCGGTTGAAGAGCGGTAAGACTAAAAGCAACAAACCCAAGGTCCGAAGGCGAAGTCGTACTGCTGACTGTACAGAGGTGTGACAGCAGTAAGGTGTTTCCTTCAGACAACCAGCATGACAGCGATGCTGCCTTCCCACAAGGAGGGGTGGGGTTAGAAAAGGTCGACCCTAAAAATGCACACCTCACCTTACCTCACGGATTTCCGTCTCCGGCGGTAAGGCCCTTTGAAGAACGGAGCTAACACGTCGAAAACCTCCCACAAAAAGGCCGTGCGCGACCGGCCTCAAGCAGTTGTCCCTTGGGCACTGCGGTCACGCTCTCAGGTCACTGAGACCACCTCTAATCCAATTTCCTTTTCAGGTACCTCCAGAAGAACCCTTCCACGGTGTGGGCAACCGGGAAGTGATAACCGCCCTCATACCTCTAACGGCACCCAAGACCACTGTATTCATAATCAACCTTCCTCTTCAATTCCTATTATTCCTCCTACATCGACTTTCAACCCTAAACTTCCTCCTTCGGCTTCCTCCTCAAGTGTCACCATAGCCAACGATTCTAGTGCTCAAAACTCTGTCCCAGGTCTACTGAAACCTCGCTCCAAACTACACATTGGAGCTTTCAACGTACGCACTCTATGTTAAATCGGTCAGCAGGCTTCCTTGGCTGAAACCCTAGAGTCTCTTTCCATTGATGTATGCTGTGTCTCTGAAACACGCATACAGGATCCCAGTGTGGTCATTCACTTGACCTCACCTCGGCAAAACGGAGAGCCAACGAGATACACCCTCCGTGTATCTGGTGACCCGATGGCCAGTTCTCGTGGACTGGCAGGTGTAGGCATAGCACTAAGCATGAGGGCCGAACAAGCACTGCTAGAGTGGATCCCCGTCAACAGTCGTCTATGTGCTGTTCGGCTGAACGGCTACGTAAGAACTCGGAAGGATAGGGACTCACGTCGTTGCCTTTTTGTCGTTTCTGTCTACGCTCCCACTGACTGCAGCTCAGATGAAGTGAAAGATGAATTTTACAGAAAGCTTTCTGAACTTCTTCAGAAAGCTAAACGCTCAGACATAGTACTCGTAGCAGGTGATTTTAATGCTCAGATAGGTAGCTTAAACCAAACAGAAAGGCATTTAGGTGGATATTTTAGTATTCCGACACAGCGAACAGATAATGGTGATCGTCTGCTGCAACTGTGCTCAGACAATCGTTTATTTTTAGCAAACACAAATTTTAAGCATAAGGAGAGACATCGTCTAACATGGCGACCCCCTACACCAAACCAACGATGGACTCAAATAGACCATATTGCCATCAGTCATCGTTGGAGAGGGTCGGTAGAAGATTGTCGCTCATTCTGGAGTACCTGCTTGGACTCCGACCATGCCCTAATACGGGCACACATCTGCTTGCGCCTCACTGGACGCAAAAAAGCCACATTAAAAAGACCCGTTAGAACTGAGTTGAGTAACGAGAAAACCAAAAGTAGGTTCCAGGAACAACTGAGGTCACACTTAGGTAGTTATGAAGACGAGGCTGACCCAGATGTTGCTTGGAAGGGCATACAATCAGCTGTGGAAACAGCAGTGACATCTATTAGTGACTTAAACCACAGAGTTGCAAGGAACCAGTGGGTTTCTTCAAAGTCTATCACACTGATGGATTCTCGCAAACTCGTCCCATCAGGTTCTGAACATGATGAAGAGCGAAAACAAATCAGATTTAGGTTAAGAAAAAGTCTAAGAAACGACCGTGAGCAGTGGTGGGTAACGAAAGCAAAAGAGATGGAAAAGGCGGCGACTATAGAGAACACAAGACAGCTTTACAGACTAATAAAAGAAACTGGAATTAATAAGTCAAGTGTAAGTGAGATTATATCGGAAAAAGATGATACTCTCATCTGCTCCCAGTCCAGACGTTTAGAACGATGGGCGGAACATTTTAGAGAACAGTTCAGCTGGCCTTCAGCTACTCTACAACTACCCTCCATTTCCAGACAATGTGAATGGAACATTGAAGTAGGTCCTCCAACTCTTGCTGAAGTTCAAAAGGCTATAGTTAATCTGAAACGAGGAAGGGCAGCTGGTCCAGATGGATTGGCTCCAGAGGTCTTTAAGGATGGTGGTCCAATTTTAGCGATTAAGTTGACTAATATTTTAGCTAAGATCTGGGAATTAGACTTTATCCCATCTGACTGGTCGCAATCACTTATCGTCTCAATATATAAGAAAGGGTCAAAATCATCCTGTGAAAACCATAGAGGGATTAGTTTAACAAACATAGTATCTAAAATACTGGCCTCGATAATTATCAAACGCCTAACTAAGACTCGTGAACTACAAACTCGAGAGAACCAAGCTGGCTTTAGACCTGGTCGTGGCTGCATCGACCACATATTCACCATTCGTCAGGTTCTAGAACACAGGCATACCTATCGGCGTCCGACGATGGTGGTATTTCTTGACTTAAAAGCAGCATTTGACTCGGTAGACCGCGAGACTCTGTGGCAGTGTCTGTCATTGAAAGGCGTACCTCAGAAGTACATAAACCTCGTGAAGGCTCTTTACTCGAACACTACTAGTCGAGTCAGGGCTTATGGCGAACTGTCATCTACTTTTGCAACTTCAAGTGGTGTCCGTCAAGGCTGTCCACTTTCTCCATTTTTGTTTAACTTCATCATAGACCTATTGATGGAAATAACACTCTCGTCGACTGAATTCTCGGGTATTGATCTCCTTCCAGGAGGTCCACTTATCGACTTAGAATACGCAGATGACATAGTCCTGTTTGGTGAAGACGCTGACAAAATACAGAGTCTTCTGGTAGCACTAAGCAACAATGCCAGAATGTTTGGGATGCGCTTCTCTCCCTCTAAATGCAAGTTGTTGCTTCAGGACTGGTCTGCGTCAACACCTGAACTAAGGATAGGGAGTGAAGTAGTTGAACGCGTTGACAAGTTCACTTATCTTGGAAGTCTGATCAGCCCTAATAGGTTGGTGTCTGACGAAATCTCAGCACGGATTCGAAAAGCTCGTTTGGCTTTTGCCAACTTACGTCACCTTTGGCGGAGGCGAGATATCCGTCTATCAATAAAAGGACGAGTATACTGCGTGCAGTCCGTTCTGTCCTACTTTACGGCAGCGAAACATGGCCTTTAAGAGTAGAAGACACCCGTAAGCTACAAGTATTTGACCACAGATGCCTCAGAAATATTGCTGGCATCTGCTGGGATCACCGGGTAAGTAATAGTGAGGTTAGACGTAGGGTATTAGGGAATGATGGTAAATCAGTTGATGAGGTTGTTAATCTTCATCGACTGAGATGGTTGGGCCACGTATTACGTATGCCTGAACACCGATCACCACGACGTGCAACACTAACCGGGGTAGGGGATGGTTGGAAGAAAGTTAGGGGCGGCCAAACCAAAACGTGGCATCAGTGCATGAAGTCACTAACTTCTAGTCTGAGCCATGTTGGTAGATGCAGACTACTTGGTTGGGGTCCGCGTGACTATCGTAACCAATGGTTGGAGACTCTTGGTGACATGGCTCAGAATCGATCACAATGGCGTCGGTGTATACACTCCCTGTCTTCTCTTAAACTAAGAGATTAAAATGACTTTATATCTTTCTTTCTACTAACTAATTCTTCCTTCCTATACCATATCCTTATTGCAACCTTTGACCTAACCACTCCTATGAATCCGCTGTTCATCTTGTTGTGCTAATGAGGTATGGCAACCTGGACCGATGCACATATGTGCCTGGTTCTACGTTGTAGCTGACTGACTGACTGACTGACTCACAACTACCTAAGTGTGACCTCAGTTGTTCCTGGAACCTACTTTTGGTTTTCTCGTTACTCAACTCAGTTCTAACGGGTCTTTTTAATGTGGCTTTTTTGCGTCCAGTGAGGCGCAAGCAGATGCGTGCCCGTATTAGGGCATGGTCGGAGTCCAAGCAGGTACTCCAGAATGAGCGACAATCTTCTACCGACCCTCTCCAACGATGACTGATGGCAATATGGTCTATTTGAGTCCATCGTTGGTTTGGTGTAGGGGGTCGCCATGTTAGACGATGTCTCTCCTTATGCTTAAAATTTGTGTTTGCTAAAAATAAACGATTGTCTGAGCACAGTTGCAGCAGACGATCACCATTATCTGTTCGCTGGTATTCTAACCTATTGGATCGCTTGTAATATAAGAATTAATAATTTCTACGTGTACTATAGTTAACATTATCGTACATATTATACCCATATTTGATAATAATACAAGATTATAATTTCCTATTAACGTTAGGTCTGGTATAACACATAAAAGTGTGATAGCATACATCAATTGCCTTATGGAGCTCAGCCTGTGTCTTGAAGTTCTTAGTTATCTACCACGTTTCACTAAACCTTGTACGCTTTTCCCTCGATCTGAGTTCGTCGATTTGCCGGAAATTGGACATTGTGATGTAAGCAGTTTTGATGATAAACCGACAAATATTACCGATGCATATTCTACTGTCAAATCAAAACAGTATCAAGAAGATCTTTCAGAGTTCTACCGACTAGAAGTCCTATCAGACAGTATAAAACAAGAATATTTTTATGGTCGTTGTCTAGCCTTTTACTTATGCCCTAGTGCTCAGAGAATTTTGCTGTTCCTCAATTCGTTTATGGCGGGATATGGTAATAGCTTTTTGGTAAGCATACTTATTTATTCAATATGAGTAACTTTAGTCCAATGTACTTGAATTTATGATACCAGAACACCTATTAAAGTTGTTTTAGCAAAATTACTTTCTCTTTATTAAAGTAAATCTCTGACCATTTTCGATACTAGACCGTTCATTTGTAAATTTTGATATCTAACTCGAAGGTTCACTGATTAAATTACTTGACTTCTTACCATTTGGAGGGAGAAGGAGAGTCACGCAATTTAATTAACTCTCAGATGGTGTAAATTTGAGCTGAATGCACAAAACTCTACGTAGTTACTAAGTCGTATTAAATTTAAACCAAAGTAGGTTAAATATGCAAAATATTTATGCTCTCAAAATTAATTATGTCGTTTAAGAAAATATTAGTTTGTAGAATCATATCATAGCACAGGTCCTATATATTTGGTGCAGTGGTTGAGAAGTTTAAGTTTCAGTCACGAAATCCCGGATTTGAACTGTGCTTTGCCTACTTCGGTTTGAGCAGGCATATAGTGTCATGAGCTGTTATACAGTTTGGCTCATATTCAAGGACCTGGTGAGTTATGCAACTGGATAAGTTGTCCTGTTCTAGAAGAACAACCTGTCAGTCATCCACAACACAGAGCTTGGGACAAGTGTATCATTTATGACCCGCAACTAGGTAAGATGCACCTACCTAGAAAAAGAACACTCACTTTGGTCCAAGTACATCATACAAATCAGTTTGAAACAATAGAATTTGCGCACAGATCCTAGTACTGGTCAGCAGGAAATAATTCAGATGACTAACCACACCAATCATTCCAACTTGTTGCTTATAAACCTAATTATTTGAGCGGCTTGTTCACATAATCTATGGCTTATATTCTGGTAAATAACGGTGTTTTTTGTTTTACAAATATTTTAGACTAGCAAACAAGGAATTGTCAGCTTAGTCAACACAGTTTATCGGTCCGTTACTTCTTACTTATCCCCTGAAGACCGCGGCAAGATGCTGGCAAAGCTTACACGAAATTCCAGTGTTCAATTTTGTAAAGCGTTTTGGAATTTAGCAGAATTACGTGTAGTATCTGAAGCCCCCAATGTAATTCTACCTTCCATGGCTGTAGCTCGCTCTTTTAAATTACAAACAAAATCGCTAAAAATACCTCTAGATATGAATATTCGAGAAAACGGAAGTGGTTCGTTTGTTGTTCTAATAAAGTTTATGTATTGTCTTAATGTGAATAATCCATAATTTAGTTCTATGTTCTAATGTAACTAAATAACAATGTAAAACAGCAAGATGTCTTGGTGGCAGAAATGATTGAATCATACATTCGAGTAGACTTTTTTATTATATAGTAGTGGTTTCATTGACGGATTTTCCCACGGTACTTTATATCTATTAATGTCTGTAACGCAATAGTCGTGTTTTTGGTGAAAGCCACGTAAAAGTACAAGTCTATGTGTTACATAATGCCACGTCTAAAACTTACCAGGTTCTTTCAGGTTTGTTAATGGTTAACATTTAAGAAGTTACTAACCATCAGTCCACGAACATTTTTGGTGGACAATGTTTCCAATATATGTATCAGAAAACCCAATCTGCCTGTCGTGGGAATATATTTTTCTCATCTATCCCAGTGTATTAGTAGAATCGTTTAGTTCTAAGTGAGTCTTAATTTTAATTCAATAGAATTCATTATATTCGGGTGTTGTCGTATGAAAGTACGTTTATCTCAGAGTTATTGTTCTAATTAAAACTCACAACAGGAGGAAGTTGGAAAAAATCGACCCTAAAAATAACACTTCACCTTACCCAACGGATTTTCGTCGCTCATAGTATGGCTTCTAAAGTAAGGAGCTAACGCATTAATTAGTACTCGCATAAAGACCGTATTCAACTGACCTCAAGAAGTTATCACTTTGGCTCCACAGCTACGCCTCCAGGTTGTCAAAACGACACCCAAACCAGTCTTCTTTACATGTTATTCACATGTCTAATTCACAAGTCAGTGAAGCAACTCTGGGAGATGCATTCCCATGGTACACGGTGACCAACAGTAGGTGCATACGGTATTCGTTCCCTCAGGATCCTGGAGTCAGCCCATGTACACCGTTGGTTTGGAATCAGGGTTATTCAACTCCCCTAGATGTACCCTCAATACCCAGTGACCCGGCTAAAGCACTGGATACTCGCTTTTCGTCCTCTCATTTTGGTAAACAACACCACCGCTGCGAGAAGGAATTGAGTAGGACTTCCCTGACAATGGCTGTATTGATGTTGCTATGTGAGAGCATTTCAAGAGGGGGAGCTGACTCTCCCCACCCTTAACCGTACCAGGGCATTTGGGGGAAATTCAATCAATGAATCGCTTAGGTACACTTCAGTGGTCAAAACTGAGGTCCATTAGGAAATATCTCAACTGATATCCCGTTACTTGTCAATGTGCAAATTCCCTGCACGAACCTTATCTGTTTACAACTTTTGATGCATCTTGGTGAAACATTTTGTTTTTGTGCTTTTAGTATAATATTATTACAAGTTCTCCTGTAACGGACATCACGCGACAAATTTCTTTCTTCGAACTTTCAGCTTATAAAATATATATCCATATGCCTCAACCGTAGAACAACACACACTACTGCTCTGTAGATTCCAATGTTTCTTCAACGAATAAACAACCTGTTATGACTTTATGTCTGGCTTTTTATCATGTGATTTATCCGCCAATCAAAATACGACTTGTGCAATTTTCGCACTGTGTCAAACTAATGACGTTCGACCGGTATGAGCAGCCTAGCGTCCTTATTGGTCCTATGTCCGCCTGGCCTGTCCACTTGAGTCCAGAGCAACAATACCAGCTTCCAATATGCGAATCGAATCATTTATTTCAGACATACTGGGTTTATACATCAACGAAACAGACCGCAACGCACCATAAAATAGGAAATAACATTTGTACACAATAAAGCCAAAAAAGTGGCTGGGAACGTGGGGGGCAGTTGTCAATAAACTGAACATAGCTTATGAACAGTAAATCGTACAATAATAAATTATAAGTCCAAATAAAGCTTATAATAATAATATAAATATACATAATCTAATTATTGAATAGTTATACCATAAGAATATATAAATAATAATAGTCCATTAATATGTCTCGGAAGTTACTCGTGATTTAATCTTCGCTCGGATATAGCACAACCTGAATTGATATTTTGACACTAATTTAAGAAGCTCAGTTGATCTTTGCCAATTCGCGTCACTTATGGCGTAGGCGAGTTGTCCATCTGCCAACCAAAGGATAAGCTTACTGCTCAGCAGTTCTCTCTGTTGTACTTGATGGACAAAGAAAATAAGAAATTTGTAAGTTACTAATATTGGACCATAGGTGTCTTTGAACCAATGCTGGTGTATTTTGGCACTAATGATTGAGCAATTTTGATGTTAGTGGTCAGGGCATTAGGTAAAGATGTCAAATCGGTTGATAAGATAGTGAACTTTCATTAACTAAGATAGATGTGTTAAGTATCTCCAAACACCTACTTACAGTAATATTGTTTGGTGTAGAAGTAGGCCAGAAGATATATGATGGCGGTCAAAACAGTATGTAACACCAGTTATTGATCATTGAACTGAGACATTCAAGTAGGTGTTGGCTACTTATTTCGGGTCCGCATGACTATCGTGCCCAACGGTTAAAAACCCTAAGTGGTGTGACTTCAAATCCTCCTCATGTGCATCTACTCTTTGACTTTTTCTTATGTCCTGGATTCTGAAATCACCTTATATTTTTCGTTTCCTTTTTTTCTATACTTAATCTCTTCTACTGTAACTACCATTACTGATACTTACTACTTCCACTAACCTGTGACTTGTTTTGATCATTTTATCTCACTGTACCAGTGTAATGTTGTGGCAACCTGAACCGATGCATTTATTACATGTGACTTACTGACAAATTGATAATCAAAGCGGTATTTCGTACTTTCGTTTTACCGTCATTCCCATATTTATTATGTTGATTTTCTAAACAGAATTCATTGTAATAGAACCACCAAAATCACATTTTGGCACTGCTCCACTAGGAATGCGTATATTATGTCGTCATCTTAGATCTGGTTTAGAATGGACTCGGACGTCTGAATCTCCTAAATTTTTTGAATCACCTAACTGTATAAATCAATCAAATCATCACTTAAGCAGAAATTCAGTATCACCATTACTATCGTACAATTCACGATTCTTCCCATCCAACGATTCATCATCTGTTGTTCTATCAAGTTCAAATGATCGTCGTTATTCGTACGAAAGTTTTAAATTTTCAAATACTTCAACTGATAATAATACAAATAAATCACCTTATGTATTGTTTTATGTACACGGTGGTGGATTTATTGCTTTAACATCTCAGTCACAGGATGTAAGTTGCATTTGCATCCTTACTATCACATAATAATAACATATGTATGTTTTGTTGATTAGTACACACAACCTGTTAAATTGTCTTACTTTCTCTTTATTGTGTTCATAATACTTTTTATTGTCACTGGCTAATTGAAACTACTTAATTGTTAGAAACTTGACAAAACCTTAGTTTAGGTGTCAGAAAATTCAAAGCAGTCAGTTAATCAAATACAACGTGAAACCTAGTACGTATATACATCGGTTTAAGTTGCCTTACCCAGCGGTCAATGTATGACAACCTTGATATCAAACATAGATAGCTAATTTGTGTAGGTACTTACTTACTTACTTACTTACTTACGCCTGTTACTCCCAATGGAGCATAGGCCGCTGACCAGCATTCTCCAACCCACTATGTCCCACTCTGCCTTCTTTTCTAGTTCCATCCAGTTCTTGTTCATTTTTCTCATGTCTATCTCCATTTCTCGGCGTAATGTGTTCTTTGGTCTTCCTCTCCTCCTTTGGCCTTGAGGATTCCATGTGAGGGCTTGTCTTGTGACGCAGTTGGGTGTTTTCCTCAATGTGTGTCCTATCCACTTCCAGCGCTTCTTTCTGATTTCTTCCTCCACTGGGATCTGGTTTGTTCTCTCCCACAGTACGTTATTGCTAATAGTGTCCGGCCAATGGATCTGAAGTATTTTGCGTAGACAGCTGTTAATAAACACCTGTATTTTCTGGATGATGGCTTTCGTAGTTCTCCAGGTTTCTGCCCCATACAGTAGAACTGTCTTGACATTTGTATTGAAAATCCTGACCTTGGTGTTGGTTGACAGTTGCTTTGAGTTCCAGATGTTCCTCAGTTGTAAATATGCTGCTCTTGCTTTGCCGATCCGCGCCTTCACATCTGCATCAGATCCACCCTGTTCATCAATGGTGCTGCCCAAATATGTAAAGGTTTTTACATCTTCCAAATCTCCGTCAATTGTGATTGGATTGGTGCATTCTGTGTTGTATCGGAGAATCCTGCTTTTCCCTTTGTGTATATTGAGACCTATTGTTGCTGAGGCTGCTGCCACACTGTTCGTCTTCTCCTGCATTTGTTGTTGCGTTTGGGATAGAAGGGCCAGATCATCTGCGAAGTCTAGATCATCCAACTGCATCTTAGGTGTCCATTGTATCCCGTGTTTCCCTTCAGACGTTGACGTCTTCATGATCCAGTCGATCACCAGGAGAAAGAGAAAGGGTGAGAATAAGCAACCTTGCCTAACACCGGTCTTCACTTCGAACGACTTTGTCAACTGTCCTCCATGCACAATTTTGCAGTGTAATCCATCATATGAGTTCTGTATGACATTGACTATCTTCTGAGGCACCCCGTAGTGTCGAAGAAGTTTCCATAGTGTTGTTCTGTCCACGCTATCAAATGCCTTTTCGTAGTCAATGAAGTTGATGTAGAGTGGTGAATTCCATTCAATCGATTGTTCCACAATGATCCGTAGAGTTGCGATTTGGTCTGTACGCGATCTATCCTTACGGAATCCTGCCTGTTGGTCACGAAGTTGGGCGTCTACGCAGTCCTTCATCCTGTTTAACAATACCCTGTTGGAGACTTTTCCCGGTATTGAGAGAAGAGTGATGCCCCTGTAGTTATCACACTTGCTGAGATTGCCTTTCTTCGGTATTTTGATCAGAAGTCCTTCTTTCCAGTCTCTTGGTACTTGTTCCTCATCCCAAATCTTATTGAAGAGAATGTGGAGTATCCTTGCAGCTGCCGCTACGTCTGCCTTTAGTGCCTCTGCTGGGATGTTGTCCGGTCCTGCTGCTTTGACACTCTTGATTTGTCTGATGGCCATGCTGATTTCTTCAATTGTTGGTGGGCCAACATTGATTGGGAGGTCCGTGGATGCTGCTTCGATGTTGGGTGAGTTCAGTGGAGCTGGTCGATTCAAGAGTTCTTTGAAGTGTTCTACCCACCTATTTTGTTGCTCTTCAATGTTGGTGATTACCTCGCCTTCCTTGCTTTTCACTGGTCGTTCTGGTTTGCGGCGATTTCCAGAGAGTTTCTTTGTCGTGTCATACAATTGTCTCATGTTTCCTTCTCTTGCAGCCTTTTCCGCCGTCGTTGCTAAATCTTCCACATATTTACGTTTGTCGGTTCTGATACTCCTCTTCACTTGTTTGTTTACTTCTGTGTATTCAGCTTGTGCCTTGGCTTTTTCTGCTCTTGTCCGACTGGTATTGATTGGTTCCTTCTTCTTCCTTCTTTCTTGAATCTTATCCAGTGTATCAACAGTGATCTATTCCTTGTGATGGTGCTTCTTGTGACCCAGGACCTCATGACATGTTGAAGTGATTGCCTCTTTGATCCCCTTCCAGTTGCTCTCCACAGTAGTTCCTTCTCCATTGAGTAGATCATGAAAGGCCTGTAACTTATTGCTGAGGACTATCTTGAATTTGTTGAGTTTGTCAGTGTCTGAAGAAAGGCCGTATTGAACATTTGTGATATTGTCCGCCACATTGTCCAGTGCTTCTAGAGCTTCAATTTCATCTTGGCCCGACCGAAGCCGCTACCTTGACGAGGTGGTCGGGCTTGCCTATCGTGATGACCCAACCGAGCTATATTGGCTGGAACGTATGTTCCTGCAGGTTCTACCATGCCAGGCAGGTCGATTGGTGAACGGTAAGACTAAAAGCAGCAACTCAAGGTCTGAGGGCGAAGTCGTACTGCTGACTGTAGAGAGGTGTGACATCAGTAAGGTGTTTCCCTCGGACAACCAGCATGACAGCGATGCTGCCTTCCCACAAGGAGGGGTGGGATTAGAAAAGGTCGACCCTAAAAATGCACACCTCACCTTACCTCACGGATTTCCGTCTCCGGCGGTAAGGCCCCTTGAAGAACGGAGCTAACACGTCAAAAACCTTCCACAAAAAGGCCGTGCGCGACCGGCCTCAAGCAGTTGTCCCTTGGGCTCTGCGGTCACGCTCCCAGGTCGTCAAGACCAACACTAATCCAATTTCCTTTTCAGGTTCCTCAAGAAATACCCTTCCACGGTGTGGGCAGCCGGGAAGTGACATCAGCCCTCATACCCGTAACAGCACAAGAGACCAAGGTGGTCACATTCAAATCCTTCCTACACCTCCTAATACCTCTCTTATCCTCCCGACCAACCCTCCTCACGTCTCTTTATCACCTCGCACCGCTAGGGCAAACGATTCGAGTACGTGGAACGCCATTCCTGGTCTCCTGAAACCACGCTCTAAACTACACGTAGGAGCTTTTAACGTACGAACACTTTGCCAAATAGGACAGCAGGCTTCCTTAGCTAAAACTTTAGAATCTCGCGCCATCGATGTGTGCTGCGTCTCCGAAACGCGCATACAGGATCCAAGTAGCGTCATTCATTTGACCTCATCATGCCAAAATAAAGAACCGACTCGATTTACGCTTCATGTATCTGGAAGCCCTGATTCTGCTTCCCGTGGCCTCGCCGGCGTAGGTATAGCATTGAGTCCTAGGGCAGAACTAGCTCTCTTAGAGTGGATCCCAGTAAACAGTCGTTTGTGGGCTGTCCGACTGAACGGAACAGTAAGAATCCGGAAAGATAGGGACACTCGTCGTTGCCTGTTCGTCGTCTCTGCTTATTCTCCCACTGACTGCAGCTCAGATGATGTAAAAGATGAGTTTTACAGAAAGCTTTCGGACCTTTTCCGAAAAGCTAAGCGCTCGGATGTAGTAATAGTGGCCGGTGACTTTAATGCTCAAGTAGGTAAACTAAGCGATAAGGAAAGACACCTAGGTGGATCCTATGGTGTCGTGGCTCAAAGAACAGATAATGGCGACCGTCTGTTGCAGCTATGCTCAGATAACCGCCTGTTCCTTGCAAATACTAACTTTAAGCATAAGGAAAAACATCTTTTAACATGGCGACCCCCTAATTCGTCCCAACGTTGGACCCAAATAGATCACATCGCTATCAGCCACCGATGGAGGGGCTCGATAGAAGACTGTCGCTCATTCTGGAGCACATGCCTAGATTCAGATCATGCTCTAGTGCGAGCGCGTATTTGCTTGCGTCTTACTGGACGTAGGAAAGATCCTGCAAGGAAACCTCTTAGGGCCCTACTTAATGATAGTCAAGCTAAGAGTATATTTCAGGAACAACTAGGAAAACAGTTAGGCAGCCATGTATGTGATGCCCACCCCGATGCAGCATGGAATGATATCCGAAAAGCTGTGGAAACAGCAGTGATATTTGCTAGTAAGGTAAACCAGAAGGTTAGGGAGCAACACTGGATCTCAGCAGCATCTATCGCACTGATAGATGCTCGGAAACTCATTCCACCTGGCTCTGAACATAATGAAGAGCGGAGTCAGCTTAAGCACAAGCTGACAAGAAGTCTACGCAATGATCGCGAACAGTGGTGGGTAGCGAAAGCACGAGAGATGGAAAAGGCAGCGGGAATAGGTAATAGCAGACAATTGTTTAGACTCGTTAAGGAAACCGGAATTAGGAACCCGACCGTTAGCGAAACAATCTCAGAGAAAGATGGACATATTATTCATTCTCAATCCAGGAGATTGGATCGATGGGCAGAACACTTTAGGGATCAGTTCAACTGGCCTTCAGCCACACTTCGGGATGCGATTCTCTCCCTCGAAGTGCAAAATGTTGCTTCAGGATTGGGTTACATCGACACCCGAACTAGTGATAGGGAGTGAAGTAGTTGAATGTGTCGACCGCTTCACTTATCTTGCAAGTCTCATCAGCCCTTGTGGTCTGGTGTGTGACGAAATCTCAGCACGGATACAGAAGGCTCGACTAGCTTTTGCCAACTTGCGTCATTTATGGCGTAGGCGAGATATCCGTCTACCAACCAAAGGACGTGTTTACTGCGCAGCAGTTCGTTCCGTCCTACTTTATGGCAAACAAAACTAGTAAGTCAACTTGGAGCGTTTCTTAGGAAGGAAAAAATTGAATGACCAAAGACAGACCACAGTTAACAAGTCAAATCAAAGTATAAAATGCGAACACTTTTCCAAGTAAGTCATTCGTCGTTTTGATTGATGCTATGAGAACAATTCATTGATCACTGATTAGTGACAAAGATTATTTTTGTCTAGTACCTAAGTACTGATTGAATTCTGTCAATAAAGACGTGGTGTGGATATTAGTCCAAATGACTTGCTATTGTGTGTATTATGATGATACGCAGTTGGAAACCATTGCTTAGTAGTAATGTCGCAGATTTTGGAGCTGAATGACATGGGTTCAAATCCACCAGGGAACATCGGTTACCAAACATTTGTATTTACTCCATGCTGATAAGTGCCAACTAGCACGAAACTTAGTGGCACAGTTTCCTAACGACTAAATTGAAGCGCCTAACATGGTATAAGAATAGCTGGCTGACTTAAACAGTTGAAACTAATAATCTAAACAAACACTGAAATCTACACCATCCATGACTGCCTTCCACTTTGGTATCAAGTAAATTCTGCGATGCAAGTTACAATAATAATAAACAATCAAAAATTTTATTTTAACAACCGAATATATCGAGCACTATAAACAAAGATGAGAAATCACAAAGGGAAAAATAGCACTGGTCACTTCACGAGTGCTTTATCCCACTATTGAGACTCAATATATGTATAATGGTAGTGAAACATGGCCGGTAAGAGTAGAGGATATTCGTAGGTTACTAGTATTCGATCATAGGTGTCTTCGAAATATTGCTCGTATATCCTGGGACCACCGAGTAAGTAACGCAGCTGTTAGGAAACGGGTACTAGGTAAGGATGTCAAATCAATTGATGAAGTAATGAAACTTGATCAGTTGAGATGGCTGGGACATGTGTTACGTATGCCCAACGACCGACTTCCTCGACGTGCTATGTTCAGTGGTATAAGAGTAGGTTGGAAGAAAGCTAGGGGCGGCCAAACCAAAACATGGCACAAATCCATGAAGTCACTGACCAGTGGACTGAGTCATGTTGGTAGGTGTAGACTACCTGGTTGGGGACCGCGAGATGATAGCAACCGATGGTTAGAGACCCTGAATGACATGGCTCAAAATCGTTTGCAGTGGCGCAGGTGCATCCACTCTTTGTGTTCTCCTCAATTCTAACCTTCTGAATTCTTAATGTCCCTTTTTTTCGCTTTCCAAATTTATTTCACTGAATTATACTCCTTGAATAGCATCTTCAAACCATAATCTTTCCGATTACTGCTTACACTTTTACTGCCTTACCACTATGAGGTTTGGAACGACAATTGTATCGGTGTGCTAATGTAGTATGGCAACTTGAACTGATGTACGTACGTACGAAGTTCTACGTTGTTACTGACTGACTGACTGATTTCATCTTGGCGACCAGCAAGTGATGATCTGAGGCTATATCAGCTCCTCTCTTGGTTCTCACGTCCTCCATCGTCCTCCTGAACTTTTTGTTGATGCAGATATGGTCGATTTGGTTTTGTGTAGAGTGATCCGGTGAAGTCCATGTGGTTTTGTGTATGCGTTTATGTGGGAATATGGTGCCGCCTATGACCAGCTTATTGAAGGCACATAGATTTGCAAATCTCTCACCATTTTCATTCCTTCCTCCCAGTCCGTGCCGTCCCATGATGTCTTCATATCCAGTGTTGTCCGTTCCAACCTTGGCGTTGAAATCTCCCATCAGAATGGTCAGGTTCTTTGTTGGGCACTTTTCGACGATTGACTGCAGCCTATTGTAGAATTGATCTTTAACGTCTTCATTGTAGTCGTTGGTAGGCGCATAGCATTGGATGATGTTCATTGAAATGCCCTCTTTCTTTGTTTTGAACGAGGCTTTGATGATCCTTGGTCCATGAGATTCCCATCCTATAAGCGCATTTTGAGCTTGTTTGGACAGCATCAATGCAACTCCTTGTGTATGTGGTGCATTTTCTTCTTCATGGCCGGAGTATAGCAGGAGCTCTCCTGTAGTTAGTCGTTGTTGTCCAACTTGTGTCCAATGTGTTTCACTGATCCCAAGTACCTCTAGGTTGTATCTTCTCATTTCTGCAGCAATTTGGAAGGCTCTCCCGGTGTCCCACATTGTACGAACATTCCATGTACCTAAATAAATGGTCGCTCTGGTTGTCAGAAGGGGCATCGGTCTTGTAACTTCCGAAGGAATTCGGCTTTCATCATGAGGCGTCATAATTCTTCTAAATGAAGACCTTCTGACTCCCAGGGCAGAGTTTAAAAGGTTTGAATAATTTTTTCTGGTTAGCGCTTTTTTTAGCGAGTTAGTTTTCTACGGGATGGGGACGCTAATACCATGCCCAACCCTCCTCCTTTATCCAGGTTTGGGACCGGCAGTAGCCCCCGGAGGGACTCCAGGCGGAGTTAATTTGTGTAGGTGCTCATCTGTAACTGCGAATCGTGATTGTCCAGTGAAAACTAGTGATACTACACTGTTGCTGAAACTGAAGTAGGCAGAGTGGGTTTAGAATATATGATTTAGTGGCTAAAATCCGGGCGGACTTACTATTCATCCATTACTTCATCGTAAACATTAACCAGGAAGTCCGCACCTACGAATATATCTCTGATTGACAACAAGTGACCTCACGAACTATTATTTAATTACTTACTTACTTAAGCACAAATATTGGTACAAGGAGGCAGCAAATATGTATGCATCACACAGAACATTTGATTTTTGCGAGGACTAGGATACTGTCCGGGTGCCTAAACCGAAATAGGTGATTTTCTTAGGAGGCCACTCCCCAGGCCTTTGACCTAGAGGTCTAATTCACAAGTCAGTGAAGCAACAACGGGAGATGCAGTCCCATGGTACACGGTGACCAACAATAGGTGCATACGGCATTCGTTCCCTCAGGATTCTAGAGTCAGCCCATGTACACCGTTGGTTTGGAATCAGGGTTATTCAACTCCCCTAGATGTACCCTCCATACCCAGCAACCTGGCTAAAACACCGGATACTCGCTTTTCGTCCTCTCGCTTTGGTAAACAACACGACCGCTGCGAGAAGGAAGTGAGTAGGACTTCCTTGACAATGGCTGTAATGATGTTGCCATGTGAGAGCATTTCAAGAGGGGGAGCTGACTCTCCCCACCCTTAGCCGTAGCATTTGGGGTCCACAGACGTTAAAAAGGACCCTGTTCGATTGTCTCTCGATTTTCTCCAATTTGTTGCTGTACTGGGAGTAACTATTGTGCATCTGGTTCGGCAATGCGTAGAAAGCACAACGAATTTCCGAGCTATATCAGTTGATAAATATCCATAATATCACTAGCCATTAAATCTTAACCTAGTACCTGGCGTCTAACTTCAGAGTTACTCACTTGGTGACTCCATAATAGGCAACCAACGTTTTTATATATATATATATATATATATATATATATATATATATATATATATATATATATATACTAAGATGATCACTTAGTTGCATTCTACGTTTATGACTGCATTAATCGGTTTGGATATCCAGGTAGCATTACTAATAATGTCAAAATTACCTATTTTATTGTCAATTATTACTATTTTATTATTTAAACATATAAAGATTGGTACAAAGAGGCACCAAATAGATATGCACCATATAAATCGTTCGATTTGTATGAAGACTGGGATACGGACCGGGTGCCAAAACCGAAGCAGGTATTTTCGTACTCAAACTATCCTGCGCTTGTAGATCTGGTAATCTAAACAATGTGATTATGACTTTAAAAAATGAAACAGAACACCTATGCTTTAAACCATTCTAGCAACTGTGAAAATTTGACAATGATTAGTTACCATTTTTTACAAATAAATTCTCAAGTGATTGTATTCATTATATCCGAATGATATCACACACTCAATGCAAATTTTATCCTCATGAAACTGAAAACAAATTTAGTTTTTAAAGTTTTGTTTGTTTGTTTTATGATCCAAAATCAACCAAACAAATCGAGATTGTTAACTAAATTCTTTGCTGATCTTTTCTCCATTCAAAATGTTCATTACTTATTTTAAAGATTTTGATTTTTGTTTCTATTATTCTAAAGGGTTTATTGAAGTTGTAGGGTTTTCTTAGGTCATATCATGGGTTAACATTAGACAACCATTGGAAACAAGAAAGCAATGAATAACTGTTTGATTGTAGTATGTGATGTGTCAGTAAAATAAACAGATTTTCTTGTGTACTCATTTGTGCCCGTGGTATCATACTGTATCGATCTAGTCCGAGCATTGATTAGCTTGCCTAGACTATCTATCTGTCTAGCAACAATGACCTTCGGCCAACCAGTGACACGCTAAATGGGAGGTAAAAACCGAGAGTACCACTAATTGACTATTGGTCCAGACTGCACTTTCACACTGGCTCTCTCACTCGTCCGACAGCCAGAATAGAGAAGAACTCAACAAGCAGATAACGTCTGATTACTCAGTTTAAACTTACGAGCCACACAACAATATAGGATAGAATCCTGACCACATATCAATGAAATTGAGGATAACTGAACCATAAGTTGAAGAGGACTGAATGATAAATCCGTGATTGACTAACAATGGTATAGGAAAAGTAAAACACACAACAATGGTTTATGCGTCAAACAAAAGCTTATAGGTAGAGCAATACAAGTATATAATACTTTAATTATTGAATAATCATACAGCAAAATTACAAAGAACAATCTCAGATAGGAAGATTCTGGAAGCTAGCTTTTGCTCAATATTTATCCCAACATAGCGGTATGGAACTGATCGTCAGTGCGCATTCACAACCCAATAAAACAGCTATCTAGTGCTTTTTGGTTTTCAATAGCTGTCTAAGTAAGATCAATCAGTAATGCGATCTAGAATACTTATCTATTTGTATTTTTTAATGTATTCACGAGGCATTATGTCAATATCTAATTTAATTTTAGAACTTTTTACGTATATGGGCTGAACAGTTGAACTGTCCAATTATAGCTGTTGATTATTCACTTTCACCTGAAGCACCTTATCCACGTGCATTAGAAGAATGTTATTATGCCTATTGTTGGATAACATTAAATCGTGAAAAATTAGGTTGTACATCAGATGCGAAAATTGTTCTTGCTGGTGATTCTGCTGGTGGGAATCTGGCACTGGGTGTTTGTATGCGCGCTGTACGAGATGGCTTACTTAATAAACCAAGTGGGATATTTTTGGCTTATACGCCTGTATTGGTTTCTTTTACACCATCTCCTTCAAGATTATTATCACTTTGTGATCCCTTGCTTCCTATTGGTGTTCTTGCTAAGTGTTTATTGGGTAAGCTCACTTTAGTGTATATTTATACATTTGCCAAGTTAACCGTAACTCATTAATCAATCATAGGTTTAATAACTCAGATTCTAGTTACACACGTAATACGAAGTTTAATGCTACACGGCTACCTAGATCGTTGTAAATTGGAGTTGAGACTACCAAACAGTCACTAATGAGTTTATAGACACATTGTCGTAATTTAATGGCTATCTGTCAGATGGTCATATATTTCTGAATTATAATTCATAATAATAAACAATAAATAAATAATCTGGTTCGAATATGATGCTTCTTGAACTATGAAATACACGTTATACATATAATGCGAGAAATAATATTATTGTTAGTACTGGTATTGTGGCGAAATGTTGGTTTAAAACGACTGAATTAATGGTGGAACAAAGTAGCTGAGCGTGTGGGACACTTCACTTTTTTGTAAGTCTCATCAGAACTGGTGGATTAGTGTATGAAAGCATCTCAGTATGGCTTAATAAAGGCCAATTAAATTTCGCGAATTTACATCTGTGGCGTATCCGAGACCCATCCATTTATCAACTAATGGTGGTAGTATACTGCTCCACAGTTCGTTCTGTTTTACTTGATGATTGTGGAGCATGGCCTTTAAAAATAGAGGATATTCGGAGGTTACTAATATTTATCGCAACCAATGGTTGTAAGACGTTGGGTGATATTACTCGGAATCAAATTCAATTGCGCAGTTATATATATATATATTCTTTCTTCCTGATTCATATCTTGTATGACGTCTTTTCTACAATCATTAATACTGTTACCACTTTTACTACTCTGGTATTTTCTTGACCATTTCTTCTCTCTGTGCTGAGATATTGTGATAAAATTAGCCGACCCATACATATGCTAGGTTTTATATTCCTTATGATCGGTTGACTGAGGGGTTAATATATTATGATTACTGTTATTTTGATGTGAAATCTAACATTTTCCCGGAAATATAGTAGATAATTATAAAATGTATTTATTATTAACTTTCTACCCAGTGCTCAATTTATTTGAAATTATCAAGTCCAACCTTGGCATCGATACTTTTAAGTAGATAATTATATTTCAATCAATCTAATTGACTTATCACTTTATTGTTTATAGCTTATGCTGGTATAGACGAAGCAACATTGGATTCTGATGAACTTGATGATGATTTCGAAGTTGATAAAAATCCTTCAAACTTAACAACTGAACAAAATTCCCCAATATGGTCTCGATTATTTTCAACACTTTGGTCTAATCCATCGAAATTAGATTTAAATAGTTCTAAAGAGTTAAAAATTGGACATTTACGTCGATATTCAAACATAACAATGTCTCCTTTATATGATGCTTATTTGCAAAATCCAAAAGATCAATCTGTGCCGTCTAATTTATGTCGGTTAAGTGAAAAATCTCACTCCTCACATAAATCCCCAAAGTTGAATAAATCAGGTTCGTTATTTTGTATCTATCGTTTACATTCTGTCTAACGTGTCATTTAGTGTACTAAATATTAAAAAATACTGTGGTTTCTTCTAAAACTCTGTTCTGGTGAAGTTGATAACATTTAATGTAAGATGGCGTTTAGAGGTAGTCGGTAGGAAGTCCTGAACCTTGGTTTAGTTCTGTTTGACACTTGTCAGCAAGGCGTATACGTAGTCTTCAGAGAAATGAAACTCTTGCAGATTTAGTCATGTATCAATCAGCTTCATAGTCGGAGTTATTTATTTATTTATTTGAACACATGAATATTGGTACAAGAGAGCGCCAATATATATGCGCCACACATGGTCGGAGGCGTTACCACTGAGTTATTAGAGTCACAACTGAGCTTCCTTACGACCAAGATATGCTTACAATTGATTGACCACTGGATAGTGACCAAAGTCATGTTTGTCTAGTTATTTTTAGCGCTAATCTAATTCCTTTGATCAAGCTTCAATGTAGCTGGTAGTTCAAATAACTCGATATCACATGGATTATGTTGACGTAGAAGATGGTGGTTAGAGGTGATTGACAGGAAACTTTGGACCTAGATTTCGACCAGCGCTAAGGACTCGACGTACGCAACATTGGTTACTATTCAATGATCAGTCAGTCATAAAAGAACACTTGATGTAATAAGCTAATCAGTATGTTTATATTTTTAATATATATCAATATTAATAATCAGACAGTACAACAGTTGGACACATTTAATACATAATGGCTACTTTGTCGACGTTCTTAAACTTTTCAAAATGATTAACTGACAAAAAGATGTAATTTCATTAGACTTCACTGAAGTAACATCGATTAAAAACGTTCAAGGTAAATTCATGAGTTTAGGGAAAAAGTTGTCGATTTTCTACTGTTATATGATAAATGGATATTTTTGATTAAATTCCCCATAGTTACTGTTTGCATTATGTTATACAATCTTCAGTTAACTGATTACCGTTTCATCTCCCTTTAAGTTTTCTTTAAAATGACCCTAAACACGTACAGTACTGAGAATCGTTATCACCTCAATTTTCCAATTTCTATTTAATATTATGTTATATTTCAATATGAATACAGATGGAAACAGCTGATGAATACCTACGAAACAACATAAAAATGAGTGCATATTATTATGCGTTAATTGTTATCCTTGCTTTATTCAAACTAATAATAAATGTGTTTAACTGGATGATAAAGTATTTATGACCAAGTATTAAGGTACAGAAATTATCTAGCAACTATAATATTCATCATTTGGTAGAAAATATGCTTTGTTTTTTGTAGTTATTTTTATCAATCAGTACACCTGATTTATACTAATCTAATAGACAGTATTGAATGAAGTACAATGGCTCAGTCATCTGACTTTCAACCATTAGACTGCAAACTCGAGTTTTGCTTTACCTACTTTAATTTGGACAACTGGACATCATTAGCCATACAATTCCAAATCGAGTAAGCCAGCCTGTACTTGATAAGTTATCTCACCAATAATTTCGACTAATCGTACAGTGGTTACCTAAAAGAATGTATTACACTTATATTTTGTCCTGTATAACTTAGATGCTTTTTTAAAAATCTTCATACTTATTCCTTACAAGTGAATTTTCTCATGTTTTCATAATTCACGAAGAGAAAGAAAAAAACCCAGATCATAATGAGGATGAATGTACACCAATATCGAAGCATCCACATCGACCCCCAACCGATTTGAACCGTATTCGAAATATTCATCTAATTCAGAATGGGTTCATGTCACCGTACTTAGCATCAGATGATATGCTACGTGGATTACCTCCTGTTGTTTTTGTCGTAAGTGGAGTGGGTTTTTGTGTGCATGCATGTGTGTTCCTATGAAGGCAAGAAAATGACTGAAGTATATATATATTTTTTCTGGATATAATTAGCCTAATTATCCTTAAAAAAGTAGAATTTAATATCTATTATGACTGCAAATTGATAGATATCTGGAGAGAAAATTTGCCAATCAGTATCCTGTTTATCAACCTCGTGTTTACTAATTTATCTGTAGCCTAGCAACCTAAAATTCGATCAATGATAATTATTGACTGGCAAGATTAACCCTCAATCGAGGCCTAGATAATCTTAATTCCTATTGCTCCACCGATACGCACGCCTTGTTCTATCCTCAGTTTTCAGTCCGAACACGAAAACACATCAGACAAGCTTCTATTATCATATTGTGGGGTACCCTGTGTATTAATCTCAGACACTCGTTAACATGAACTTTCAGACCACCGCTCAACCAAAATATAAAATCTTACTTTACGTACAATCATACCATAAGTACCAGAGAACGGAACAAACTTTAAATGATTAGGATTAATTAAGAAATATTAAATCGTAAAACAGTAATTGATGAGTACAACGAAAGCTGGCAATACTGGGAATGTAGAAATGCAATAATCTTATTACCTAATAATCATATGATAAAAATGTAAACAATAATAATAGTCCGTAAAATAGTTCCGAAAGTTATAACAATCTCAGTATTTGCTGCTTCATAACAATATGGTATTCGAAAATCTGTAGTGTAGTTCAGTGTTAATAAGATTTATACACCAGAAACATCAGAACGAATACTTTGTCTTTAAATTTGTTTCATATAAATCTCTAATTAATTACAGGTACTTATACGTATAGCTTTAGGCCGTAGTTCGTGTAAACGTTAGTAATACTGTACACGTCTACTTAAAATATAGTAGAGGAGGTGGGGTTCTATTTATTTGTTTTGTTTGTTTGAACACAAATATTGGTGCAAGAGGGCTCCACACCAAACAATAAGAATTCGAAGGGAGAAAAAAAGAACAATAACGAACAGACTAGTGTAAGGTAGTGTGATAATAATAATAATAATAATAATAATAGTAATAATAATGGGGGAAACAGAAACGTACAGTCAGAAGAGATCTTTCAGTTAAGGAAGAAGCAACCACTTTTTTTATTAAGAAAGTAAAAGAAGGTTACAGCAGGATCGTCACTGGCTTCTATTCTGAGCCATATCTGATAACGTCTCTAGCCACTGTGTCGCACCATCTCTAGGACCCCAACCATGGAGTCGTGAAGGATAAACAGAAGCCACCCGTTTGCAGCTTTCTTTCATTCCATGACACCATGTCGTACACTGACCACCTCTCCTCTTTTTCCAACCAGTCCCAGAGTCGGCAAATAATGCACGACGTGGAATTCTCTGGGACGACATTGGTAGAACATATCCAAGCCACCGAAGTCGGTGTTTCAAGATGGTGACACCGACTGCATTATCGTCTCCGTGCCAGAACACACGATGCCGAACCTCTGCATTACTAACATGTTGTTGGCACTGGATGTCAGCAATCCTTCGGAGACAACGATGATCGAACACAGAAAGTCGTCTAACATCCTCAACTCGGAGAGGCCAGGTTTAGTAAGTAGAGAGCATAACTGCCCTCACCGACGCGTTGTAGATCCGACCTTTTACAGCCAGACTAAAATCATGAAGGTGCTAAAGATATCCCAGATTGGCATAAGCCGCTCTGGCTTTCACTATACGTGAATTAATCTCATCACTCACGCCACCAACAGCACTTATGCAGCTACCTAGATTCTAACCCACCAACAAGTAGTTGGGACCTGTTTGAAAATGAAATTTACCGAACGTTTATCCATGTTATTGTCTTTGGGCCACATTATTTGTAAAGGCTAGTGACACTACTTGGTTGTCCAAACCAAAGTAGATCAAGTGGGACTTGAACCTGTGAAATAGTAGTCAAAAGTCTAGTGCGTTAACCTCTAAGCCATCCTTTGAGTTATTTGATATCAAAACTATCATTCAACGTAACCAATATTTGCTTTAAATATGATTATATATTGAATATCATTATGTATATATAATCTTTGTTTCTCTTTTCTAGTGTTCACAATTCGACCCATTTTTGGATGATGGACTAGAGTTAGCTAAACGTCTTTCTAAACTTGATGTCTCAGTAGATGTACGTGTCTTAGACAATTTACCTCATGCATTTCTTAATTTTTGTCTATTGGGTCCAGAATTCCAAATTGCTAATAAGATTTGTATTGAGTTAGTAAAAAATTTATTTGATGAATATTATACAAAAAATAATGAATAATTTATTACTAAAATACTGATTATCTATGCGCCTCAATTTTTCTCCCTTATTATCATACTACTTAGTACTTTTCATATTAATAGTAGCTGTGATATCCAATGTTATCTCATTTCATTTTTTATTCTCTTCCTTTTTCACATCAAATAATCATACAACTTTTATTTACTCTTCATCATCATCATCATCAATTGGATTGTCTATTCTCATTTTCAATTTGTACATTCGATTCATGTACATACCCCATATACAACAAAAGTACATCAACAACACCCATGTTTATTGTGTTCTTTCATTTCTTTTTCTTTCTGACTTTATCACTTCTGTAATGCAAATAATTTCAGTTATTTTGTATGTATGTATGTTTGTGTACCTTTTACAGATTCACTATTATAATTATCGTTATTATTTTGTTAAGTAATTTATCACCAGATTACTTATTTTTTGTTTTTAAACTTCATCCTTAGTTATTTTGTTGTTGTTTCTGTTTCTCTAGTTTATTTCCTCTTTTATCGTTTGTTTTCTCTTTGTTTTTTCTCTTTTGTATGTATATTGTTAATATACATTATTATTATGTTATTATTACAAGTACTACTCATCGCCTTTCAAACGTAGCTACGTTATTCAAATATGTTTTTTTGCTTTACCCTTTTATCTTATTGTTGCATATTATTTATTTATTTTGTTTGAACTATTCTAAATCATGATTTAAAAGTTGAATAAAAGCGCTAGTTGAAGTTAGACATTAACACCGTTGTTTGCCGCCCCAGTGGTCTAATGGTTAAGCGCTCGTGCGCGAGACTGATAGGTCCTGGGTTCGGATCTCGCGGGGGGAATCGTGGATGCACACTGCTGAGGAGTCTTATACTAGGACGAAACGGCCATCCAGTGTTTTCAAGTTTTCCATGGTGATCTAGCTTCAATTGACTCGTGATTTCAACTATTGAAAAGCGCTAACATCATTTAATTGAGAGAAAAAAGATCGTATCATAATCTTTTATATTATTGAATAAATTTATTTCTTATTTTGTTCTTTCGATCAATGTCTCAGATTCATTGTAAATTATCATGATCATTGAATGATAGTTTTATCTTTTGGATTTTATTTAATCCTAAATAATATGGATCTTATCCTTCAATATCCTATACGCAAATACTTTACATGATTATAAGTTATATTGTTGCGCTAAAATTGACAATTCTTCCTACTTATTGTAATTTTATTAATTAAATGAAAATATACTCTACATTGATTGTCATCTTTTATATGGATTAGGTATATGTGAATTAGTATCAGAAGGGGTTTTTGTGGAGATTGTACTAATTTCAGTAGGTGAGATCATGAGTTAATTGAAGCTAGACCACGATGGAAAGCCTGGAAGCACTGGACGGCCGTTTCGTTTTGTTGTGGGACTCCTCAGTTGTGAGATAGTAACTCACAGATGACAATGGTGAATGTGTCGCTCAATTTCGTGGATCAGTTGAAGTTAGACATCAACACCGTTGAATACTGACTGGCTCAGTGGTCTAATGGTTAAGCGGTCGCGCGCGAGACTGATAGGTCCTGGGTCCGAATCTCTCGAGGTGCATTGATGAGGAGTCCCACAATAGAACGAAATGACCGTTCAGTGCTTCCAGGTTTTCCATGGTGATCTAGTTTCAGTTGACTCATGATCTCAACTATACGTGAATTGTTTGGTCGTTAGTGATGATAAAATCCTATTGGATAATTTTATTGAAATCACGAGTTTAATTTAGACAAGTAATAGATGACTGTTTGGTCTTAGTATGGGACTACTCAGTAGTGCTCATCCACAATCAGGAATCGAATCTAGAACTTTCAGTCTCGTTCACGAATGCTTAAGCTGTAGACTAGTGAGTCAGGATCCAGTGGTCTAACTTTAATCACCGCACGATATTGCACAACCTTCTTGCAGTATCTTTGGTGGGCAACTGCTTTACATCCAACACGGTTTAGCTCCATTGGTCTAACTTGAATCAGTTCGTGATTTAAATGGAATTTAACAATCTTCACAACCATGTTGAACGATAATTTAGTTACTTTTTAAATACATGTTTAGCTATATAGTTGTATCATACTTACTGGCATCGGTTAGATAGAATTTTAGTTGTAAGTGTATGGCATTCATTTTAAATGAAATAAGTAGCAAATCAAGGTTGCAGTAGCGGTTGCTTTTATTGAGATTTTCCTAGCCAGTGATAATCGGTCAGTCAAACATAAGTGGGATAGAACTTACCATATATATACATCAAATTGGGCTATCACACCATATCAGTACAGCTAAATGAAGTTATTACGATGAACACCAAATAAAAAATTGTATCAGTCCTAGTAAGAAAGATAAAGCATGAATAATATAATTTAGGAGGAATAAATAAGTTTGTGGTGTGAAACTTATAAAATAATTCCAAAATTCTGAATCTAACTAAAGATAAGTAGTGGATGCGTCTGAGCTACTGCAACCGGTTCTAAAACATATCACCCAAAGTGTTCGACCAGTGGTCACAGTAATTGTGCGAACCGCAATGAAGTGGTCTGAACTTAACAAAATGAGTGAAATCATTAGTTAGTAACTTCATAATTTGACGTCACATTTTAGTTCACTTCCTCCTACCTTTCAACCCACTACACTAGTGCATAAATGTAGTCATTGGTTGTTCATGCGTAATACATGTCACAATCATTTCAATCGATAAAGATTTAGTCTTATCGGCTGGTTCGCTATCTTTACCCTGAATTTCCAAAGTTTTTGCGTTTATCGAATGACAAAAAATTACCACAGATAAACAGATCTCTCAAAATAATAAAGGCGATACTTTGATGGACTTGGTACTTACCGTTCGACATGAAAATGATGTTATTAAATGATCTAATACTGAAATGGTAGAAAGGATTTGTGACCTAGATGGATACTGATGTGTGAGTTGATTTGTCTAAAATAGGTGGTTGGATTTTGTAGTTATCATGGTCACTTTAGATAACAATATCGGCTTTTGGTTCTACATAACCAAAATGTGTTCTTATTAATGAAGTATAAAGGATAAATAGTCAGTTTTTTTTAGCTAAATTCATAATAACTTTGAAATGAGAGTAATATATATATATATATATATATATATATATATATATATATATATCACGAGTTGTTGTAGGGCTGTGACATCACAGTAAGATAAGACTATTCTCTGTTCCAATGATATCACTATCACGTTGATAAGACCGGTGACCGAGATAATATTACCACTATACTAGATCATTGATCGATAAACTTTACGAAGATTATATCATAGATGAGATACACATTTGACCAAAAACAAACTAACAGAGTATGAGCTAGATACTTCATCAAACACCGTTACCAGCAGTATACACTCAGTGAATATAAAGTAGAAAATAATCGTAGGTACGGAATCATATATTAGATAGTCATCAAACTGAATTTCTGTCTGTTCGCACCCAATGGCCAGTCAGACCATAATTTCAATCACCACCCATCATCAAGTAGTTAACCTCTTTGTGTCACTGAGCTAAAAGCCTTATATTTTTAAAAAAAAACTTACTACTGGAAATGATTATTTATAAGTCAGATTACCTGTAATCGTCTCCATCAGTAGATGGAATTTCATTTAAGTATATAATTAATGAAATGAAAAATAAGCATGGATATCTAAGATTCGAATTTGTGTAGAAGAAACGTAGTTGACGTTCAAAACAATACTTTTTACTGGAAAACGATAGAGTGGTTTTAAGACTAGTTATCTTACCAACAATAACAAGTAACTTTCTGAAAAAAATTGATGAAACCTTCTTGAAGTAAAAAAATTAGTTGAGATCATATGTCAATTGAAGTTAGATCACCATGGAAAACTTAGAAGCACTGGACGGCCATTTCGTTCTATTGGGGGACTCCTCATGAGTGCGCATCCGCGATCCTACCTCGCGAGATTCGAACCCAGGACGTATCAGTGTCGCGCGTGAACGCTTAACCACTAGACCACTGAGCTGGCCGGCATCCAACAGTTTATGTCTAACTTCAAATAATCTACGAAATTGAGCGACACATCCACCATTATCATCAGTGAGTTACTATCTCACAACAGACCCGGTTGAACTCCACTGGTCACTACTTCTCACTAGAACTTCAGGATATGCCTCTTGAAACAGGCAAAACCACCACAAAGTGAATTGAAATTCATATCTGGTGCACAAGTAAGTGGCTCTCTGAACTCAATAGTTGACTAAATAAAGTGTTGGAGTTTGAAACGAATGGCACTGGGCTTAAATCTCAGGTTGAACATTAACTCTAGGACACATGTACATCCAACTGACAAATCGAAAACAGGATCGGACGCAAATCTTGGATTACGCATCTAGCCACGTTCTATCTATTCTTCATAAATATAACAGATGGTCTGAATCGTTTTCTTCGTTCTGCAGTATTGTAGTGTCAGTCATTATTTTAAGCCCATAATATACCTTATTCTATCTTCCGGACATTCCATTCTATTCATTCTACTTGAGTCATATTTTGACCTTGTTAATTATTCGCTTATCAGTCTTGACTGTTTTTATATGAGCGTATATGTGTGTACATTTCATATCCCATGTCTCATCACATGTCTGTAGTTTATTTAGTCTGCCTATAAATATTGCGTAACGCCTGACTAGAAATGGAGTTGGCTTACCAGCCATCTCCCTTGTTCGTCCTTTTTGCTGTGTTCTATCGCATTCACTTTACATACAAAATATATGTATATGAAAGTTCATTCTCGTTATTTGACTTATCTAAATCCGTTATTGACTAACGCGATTAAAGTCGATGATTATATACGAGGATAGGTGATAACTAATATTCATACGATCTAAATGGAGTCAGATCCACGGGCCACTAAAGTATACTACAATAATACGTCAATACAATAATGAGACTAGTCACGTTATATCAGATCTAGAATTCACAACCTAGAATAGAGAACTAAATCAACACTAGATAATACTGTATTCAACACTATTACTAACAGTAGAAATCAATGAGAGGAAAGGAAATCACATATTTAATGGTCAGTAGGCTAAGTGCCTGTTTGTCCATACTTAGTGACCAATAATATTTCACCTTCACTACTATATACCACATATAAAAATTGTGAAATAATGGTTACATTGAGATAATCTGTATAGGATGCACATATGCCAACTATAATGTTGATCGAAAGCCACTCAAAATATCAATAACGAGTCAATTTAAACAAAGAATTATGGTTTATTATAAATAGATAAGTGTATTATGGGCACTATTGTCATACTTCATTAATCAGTTAAAAATACTATAACTCTGTAAGTGTTGTATTTACATTTAGATAATTAATTGTTCTTTGTTAGTCCTACTAGTTAAATTTTTTGTTCAATGTTCAGTCTTTAGTGGCCCAAGATCTGACTCTAGTGAAATCGTTTCTGATTGCTATTGAGATATACAACATACTGTCATTCCTCTTATATAATTATCGACTTAGATTGCGTTAGTGAATAGCAGAATTCAATAAGCCAAATACTAGAAAAGATTTCGAATACGTATATTTTGTACAATTATTGATATGGACAGACAATCAAAGGGACAAAGTGAATAGAAGAGAGAGAAATCGTGTGAGCTAACTTCTATTTAATCAAGTATGAATCGATACTTATAGTCGCACAAAAATAAGCTACAGATATATATGATGAGTAGGAAAGATCTACACACACACATACGCTCATATAAAAAGTCAGGTTTGATAAGTAAATAAATAACAAGGTCAAAATGTGACTCAGGTAGAATGGGTAAATTGGCCTGTTCAGAAGCTAGAATATGTTAATATGGGCTTGACATAGTAACCGACATTACAAATTAAGCCTAAATTTTTACTTTCCATCCTCCAGATGATATAACGATTGATTAGTATTTTCTACATTAGTTTATAATCTTTTATGACGTACCTAATAATGGTATCAATAAATGATAATAATGTCATATTTTAGTATGATTTCATTAGTGAAGTAAATCTTATGAAAGAATGAATGGAATTAATATGTTGAGTTTTGTGTATATTAGTTGTTTGTTTGCTTTTTCATTATGAGTTATATTTACGTTAACACACAATGTATAGTGTTACATTTAAGACATTGTACTGTTGTTTAAGGATCAAATGATGGATTACATCTCATAATTGGTAATATGAATTGTTGTGTCTTGTGGACTGCAGATTTAG